GCTCAGACCTGTGGGTATCACAAGCATGTGTGCCAGACCCCTCACAGTGCAGGACAGAGCCCAGGTAGGGAGAGAAGGGGTGCAGGATGAGGGGCAGGGGCAGGGGGGCAGCTCTTCTGGCATGGAACTCCAGGGAGTCCAAGAATCCGAAAATCAAACCTGACCTTCCAGGTTGTTACAAAGGTTTATTTGTTAGGTAAGAAGATAGAACATAATTTAACAGTTTGTTAGACTGATAACTTTTAACTGTTTTGACATGTCATACATAGGCTTCCATTTGCACTCTTGCCCAGGGTAAGCCTAGGAGAAGGAAATTCAGTCTTGGAGGAAGAGAATAAGTTGTATTCTAGACAAACTGACTCTAACAAGACATTCACACAACATCCACATGGAGCATCCAGGGGGCAGTGGTGATATGAGCCTGAAGCCCAAAGGAGAGGTCAGGGATGGAGGGAAAAGATCAAGAGTCGTTGATAATTGAAGCCGTCAGAGGGAGTAGATTGTCTGGGAAGAGACAGTACAGTAGGAAGAGACTGAGGGACAAGTCCTGAGTCAGGACAGGGAGAGAAGCTGGCAAAGGAACAATCAGAGAGACAAGGGAAACCTCGAAAGTGTAATGTCACAGAAGCCAAAAGATAGCTTCAAAGGGGACAGAGTGTCAACAGAATAAAGGCTGCCTGAGAAGTCAAGCAAGAAAAGTGGTAAGAACTTAGTTCTATTACCTTGGTTGGAGCGATTTCAACCCCACTGTAAGTGGGAAGGGCCCACGGAGTAAGGTGAAGAGTGAGAAAATGGAGGGAATAGACAGTTGATGCTTAGTTCATGAAATATGGCAGGGGGTAGGGGGCAGTAGCTGGAGAGGGGCATGGAGCCCAGAGCTTCTTTTCTTGGTGTCCGAGGCCTGAGTTTATTTACATGTAAAGGGAAGGAGCCAGGAGAGACTGCTAGAAGATGTGAAAGTGAAAAGGGGTACTTTATAGAGCAGAGGCTGCCTTGACTAAAGGTAGAACATCTCTTCCACCATCTGGGAAAGAAAGGAGGAAGGGAAGGATGAGGGAGAATGCCAGGCAGGAAGCTAAAAAATCTCCAGAACCATGGCTTCAATCTTCTCTGTAAAAATGTCATTCTCTGAGAGACATGGTGGAGAGAGAAAGAAGGGGAAGGTCTGAAATAGAGCGAAAATGTCAGAAGGAACTGAGAGGGGACCTGGGAGGTACGTAATGGCCCCAGATGATGCTGGCGTGTATGGATTGTAAAGGCAGCAGCCACCAACCTTCTCCAGCGGCATCTGGTGGGTGGGGTGGACATGGGGAGTCAGGCAGGCAGAGCTCAGGACCCTCAGCCAGAGTCTGGGCACATCACAGGGAGAAGTGGAGACCAGCTTGTGTCAGATGAGAAGAAAACGAAGAGGCCGGGGTCCTAGAGATCTAGACAGGCTCCAAGACCAGGTGGCTGGC